GCGAGTGCGGGGCCGCTACAGCGGCAGGGCGGGGCCGCGACCGCGGCAGGAAGCTCCGCGGCAGTTGCTGCAGGGCGGGACCGGGCCGCAACGGCGGCTGGTGCAGGGCAGGGACAGGGCCATGACGGTCGCTGCTGCAGGGGCGGCTGCTCCAGGGGCGGCTGCTCCAGGGGCCAGGGGCGGCTCCTGCAGTGGCGGCTGCTCCAATGGACAGGGGCGGCTGCTGCAGGGGCGGCCGCTCCAGGGCCAGGGGCAGCTGCTGCAGTGGCGGCCGCTCCAGGGGCCAGGGGCGGGTGCTGGAGGGTCGGTTGCTCCAGGGGCGGCTGCTCCAGGGGCTTGGCGCGGGGTAGGGCAAGGCGATGCGGCGGGCAGGGGCAACGCCGCGGGCAGGGCGATGCGGCGGGCAGGGGCGACGCCGCGGGCAGGGGCGGCGCAGCGGGCAGGGCGACGCGGCGGGCAGTGGCGACGCCGCGGGCAGGGGCGACGCGGCGGGCAGGGCGACGCGGCGGACAGGGGCGATGCCACGTCAGTAGGAGGACGCGGCCGCGTCAGCTGCAGGGCTGGCGGGGCCGCGTCACGGCAGGGCGGGGCTGCGTCCGCGTCGACGGCAGGGCGGGGCCGCGACTGCGGCCTGACGGGGCCGCGACTGCGGCCTGACGGGGCCGCGACTGCGACCTGACGGGGTCGCGCGCTGGCCTGACGGGCCTGCAGAGGCTGCGTGCGGGCGGCGCGGGCCTGCAAGAGCGGCACGCGGGCGGCGTGGTCCTGCAGGGGCAGCGCGCCGACCTGACGGGCCTGCATGGGCGGCTCTCGGGCCTGATGGGCCTGCAGAGGCGGCTCGGGGACCTGACGGGCCTGTCGAGGCGGCTCGGGGGCCTGACGGACCTACAGGAGCGGCTCGAGGGCCGTACTAGCTTGCAGGGGCGGCGCACTGGCCTAGGGCAGCAGGAGGCAGCGCGAGGGCTGCAGGACGGCGCGTAGGCAGAACGAAGAGCGGGGCGCGCGAGGGCGCACTAGCAGAAAAAGGGCGCACGAGGGCGCACGTAAGGTAGGGCGCACGAGGGCGCTTCTAGCGGAATAGTGGGCCCGTAGTAGTCCTAGGTGGCAACATAGGCTCCTGATACCATGTCAGAATCAACAAGAGTGATTGCACTAGGAAAGAGTTGGGTACAAGTAGGAAACCCTAAACTTACTGTACCCCATAGTAACTACCCCACTACAGCCTAAACAAACTGTAGCAGACAGAATATTTGACAAACGAAACTGACTGTCCACGTATACACCCACAGAATGCGCAATTCTGTTTATAATACCGGCGTATACAATTCCACACAGTAAAACCTCGGAATGCAAATTTGTAATCAACAAAATACGATCATATAGCCTTAGCTATCAAAAAAACCCCACAAACAAAAACACTCACACAATGTCAAACCGCAAAGCTGTCAGAATATTATCTTATTGTTCTAGCCTGTAGTGGGGTGCTCTATAGCGAGTACAACCCTTCTAGGGTTTGCTATTTGTATCCTCATTCTTGCTAGTTCAATCCTCTTTCTTTCTTCAAACTTTGACATGCTATCAGAGCAGGTCGATCCCCTTGGATCGATCCTGTGGGTGTGTCCCCACCTTGCTTCCGCTGCTACTTTTTCCTCCCGCCGTGCGCCCCGAGGCGCGCGGCGGTTTTCTGCCCGCCGTGCGCCCCGAGGCGCGCGGCGGTTCATTGCCCGCTGTGCGCCCCGTGGCGCGCGGCGGGCTTCTCCTCTACGTCGCGGCCCCGCCCCGGCCCGTCGCCGCCCGTGCGCCCGCTCGACGCGGCCCCGCTCTAAGTCGCGGCCCCGCCCCGGCTCGTCGCCGCCCGTGCGCCTGCCCGGCTCGGCCCCGCCCTTCGTCGCGGACCCGCCCCGACCCGTCGCCGCCCGTGCGCCTGCCCGGCTCGGCCCCGCCCTACCTGCTCGGCCCCGCCCTTCGTCACGGCCCCGCCCCTCGAAGCGGCCCCGCCCTACGTCGCGGCCCCGCCCCGACCGTCGCGGCCCCGCCCCTTGTCGCGGCCCCGCCCTACGTCGCGGCCCCGCCCTATGTCGCGGCCCCGCCCCTCGAAGCGGCCCCGCCCTACGTCGCGGCCCCGCCCCGCTCGTCGCGGCCCCGCCCCTTGTCGCGGCCCCGCCCTTCAACCAGGCTCGTGGTGGGCCCCTTTCACCACACCGCCTCCCCCCCCCCCCCCCCCCCCCCCCCCCCCCCCTGCCATTTCCCGTCGTCCGTCGTGGCGACCTGAGGGGGCCGCTTGCTGTGGGGTGGCGGGTATGGGGGTGGTCGGTGTGCCTTCCTCCCTTTCTCCTCCTCCTCCTTCGTCTCCCACTGCTGCAGCTGTCGCTGAGGGGGGTGGTTGTGTGGGAGACTGGGTTTAGGGTTTAAGGGGGGTGCGTGGGAGTAGAGCTAGTGGTGTAGCAGTGGGTGTGTATCAGGGGGGTGGGACTGTGTGTGGGAGGTTGAGCGGAGGTTGCCAGTTTGTCGTCCGCAGCACCTGTAGTCCGGGGCGCTGTCCCGGTAGCCCAGTGAGCTTGTCGCTGAGCCGGTCGCCTGTGGGTCCGTTGCCCGTCTGCCGCTACTTGAGCCGCGGGGCCTGTCACTCCCGTAGTCCGGGGCGCTGTCCCGGTAGCCACTGTGCTCGCCACTCCTGTTGCCCGTGTGTCTGCAGCTTCAGCCGCCGCCTTCTATCTCCTCTCCTCTCACTCTCCCTCCTCCTCCTCACTTGCCCGTTGTGACCACTGCTAGCTTTGCTTATAATTGTGAACTCTAAACTATTTCTTCTTGAACTTGTGCTCAGAATGTGTGGTGACATTGTGATCCACCCTGAGCTTGTTTTGCTTTGCCTGCTCTGCTGATTACACCCCACTTTGGCTATGGGGGTGTGTCAGAATATTATCTTATTGTTCTAGCCTGTAGTGGGGTGCTCTATAGCGAGTACAACCCTTCTAGGGTTTGCTATTTGTATCCTCATTCTTGCTAGTTCAATCTCTCTTTCTTTCTTCTAATTTTGACAAAAGCTATTCTAGTGATAAATGACTTGAAACATATAATTTTACCCTTTCATAATTATATTTCCGAATATTAAGAAATGGAGCTAGCCCAAGTTACAATACTAATTTTGTATATGACAAATAATAAATATTGCATACACAATAAAATATTCTATTGATATAATAAATAACGCATTCAAGGCATGATATGGACTGTATTAACAGATAATTCGATCCCAGATTTTGCATAGTCAGGTTACATTTGCTTTGTCGAAAGTTGAACGAGAGTGTAGAGTTAAGTTGAAAGGTAGGGCCTAGGCTTAGGAGCCTAGGCCCGAACTTAGGTGTCGAGCGGGTTTCTCCTAGGGTGAGTATCGAGTGAATTGAAGAGAAGTTGGGAGGATGATTTCACTATAGGTTTCAAGAAACATATAGCATAGGAAACAAAGTTGGTGCACCACCTACAAAGCACAATAACTACACTACAACTACAAGCAGTTATAAAAGATGACAAATATATTTCGACATGCTTTTCCAGATTTTTTGTAAAATGTTTGCTGTAATAGCGATAGGAAATTATATAGAATACGTGCATGTAACGTTTTGCGTTTGTAAGCGATGGTATACTAAACAGAATTGCGCATTCTATGGGTGTATGCGTAGACAATCATTTTCGTTTTGTTGAGTCAAGCCTGATTTGTACGGTGTACAGTTTGGTTGGAACGCAAAGTTACCAGCCAGGATTTCCGGATGCACTGTTCATTACCATTCAGGCAATAATGTTGACCATCTCGGCAATGCTGGTTACCATGGTGGCGATGAGAAGACATCTCTGTTACGATTTGAAAACGTGGCTTACCTCGCGTGCGTTTAACGCCTATTGCCCAAGTTGCGGGTCGCGCTGGTCAACCTTACTATTCTTGATCGAGGGTTGCTTTGGGTTTCTTTCTTGCACGAACTAGGGTTACGGATTGTTAGAAGAAATCTGATTGGCCAGTGCATTTCCACTGAGTTCGCGAAACGTGAGCAGGGGGAAACTTTCAATATTATTATCTGTGCAATATGAGACTCTCGCAACTGAACACGAGCTAGCCGCTTGTGTTTGCTGTGTCAGCAAGAAAAACAAAGCGTGGCGAAAATCTGGGCGAAACCAACTACACCCACCCCCCCAACACCTCGACTATTCTTTTCTCCACCTCCCCCACCACCCAATGGTCAACCTTAGTAAGGTTGAACAACTTGGGCTGCGGGCTTTAAGCTCCATGAGTATTACCGCTAAGATAAATGCCCACAAACATTCTAGGTGACCGTACACACAGCTACACTTCGTTTTTGAAGCCAGAATGAGGCGAGTGCGGAACGCGCGGGATAAAAGGTGGATGGATCACGAAACAGGTTTTATAAAAATTGGAGTGCGATATAAAAAAATCACGAAGCCAAAGCCCGTGCCGTGGTAATTCTCTCAACTTGAGTGCATGGCTGAAGTGAACATTCACCAGGCGGCACACCGCCCTGTACTTTCACTCACAGCACAAAATTTGTTACAGGCACCCCGCTGAGCCAGCATGGAAGTCTCTGGAATAATCTGCTTCGGGAGTGTTCGCGAAAACAATTCCTCTAAAAATCTTCTGAGCGGACGCCAGTTCGCAATGTCCCAAATCTCTTCGCCACTTTACATTTCCTTCGCACACATTTCATTCCCCTCTCCAGTGTATTTCCTTGCTCCTGTTCTGCTTTCATTCTTTATGCCTGCTACCTAGTAGTCTCCACTCTCTGATTCCTTGGTCGAAATTCCCACGTGCGGTCGTCGTCGCGAATACATCCAGCCTCCCGCCTCGATTTCGGTTTGCATAGGATTCTTGCGCTTCGACAGATAGAGATTAGAAGCGGAGATATCTTTCCTTTCCGCGGTCAATTTACCAGCGAGGGGAGATAGCAATGGCCACATCAGCATGGCATTCGTATGGTTCGCGAAAGTTTCCGATGGGGTATTCGGACGTTGAATCCGGTGGAGGGGACGTGTTTCAGGACCCCTCTCTGCGATGGGCCTTCGTTCAAAAGGTACAGTCACGCTTCTTGTTAATCTCTTCATTTTCTCCCTCTCCCTATTAGTAACAGCTTCGACGCAAGTTCTCTTTTGCCTTGCTGGAAGCAACGCCATCCCCCCACCCATCAATCGAATCCCAGGTCTACTGATCTGCCGTTCCAGTTGTTGCTAACCCCCAGTAATCCCTCATTATCACACATCAGTTTTTTTTGCTTTGACCTGCTTCTCCTCTCCTACTTAATCCCAGGTGTACGGCATCCTGTCCTTTCAGCTGCTGCTAACTTTCGTAGCAGCCATGGTGGTGGTGAGGGTGGATTCTGTGCGGCTCACTGTCATGCACTCGCCTCTTCTCGTCATCGCCAGCGTCATCGTCCCCTTCATCTGTAAGGACGTGTTTTGTAACGCCTTTGCTTCGCCTAGTCTAGCTGCTGCTGACCTTGAAAGAACAATACCATCAGCAATTTAGACCTATTAGGTCAGGTAGTACAAGAAGAGGAAATCAGCACGATAAATGAATGCAAACGTAACTGATATAAATCTTACATTTATTTTATTTTTATAGGTCGTGTCAGGATGGCCGAGTTGGTCTAAGGCGCCAGTTTCAGGTACTGGTCCGCAAGGGCATGGGTTCGAATCCCATTCCTGACAGCATTTTTGTTGGAGTAGGTGTGTTTGGTTATATGGAAGAGTATGGTAGGTTGGGTCCTCGTCCCCTTCAACTGTAAAGACACATTCTCTTCACTCCCTATTTTTCAACCAGCGAAGTCTCCCCCCCCCCCCTTACCCCCTGCTCCCCCCACCTCCTATTTATTGTTTGTTTTTGTTTTCATTTCCTTTTCTTGAAGTCACCTTGTCTCAAGAATGTGCATGTCTCCCTTAATTCTTGCCCGTTCTTTCTCGTTATAGTTTAATCCCCTTCCTTCCTTGTAATGATCTGTGCACTCTCAGCCTACCACCAGCACCATCCGCTCAACCTCATCCTCCCCCTTCCCCCCACCCCTTGCCTTTTCCTCCCTGCAGTGATCTGTGCACTCTCAGCCTACCACCAGCACCACCCCCTCAACCTCATCCTTCTCGGCCTCTTCTCCCTCTCCTTCAGTATTACGCTTGGCCTCTCATGCGCCTTCCTCCCAGGTAACATGAGTAGTACCATACCATCCGCGTCATCAGCACATCGTGTCAGCACGATGTACATTATGAGCGCACAGCAACTGTAGCTTTCCTCTTAATGACATCTCGGCCTCTCATGTGCCCTTCTCCCAGGTAACACATTGTGTCAGTACCATGTACATTATCAGCACACGGTAACATTAGCTTTGCCTTGGTAGCATTGTACCAAGATTGTGCCTGTCTCCCACTCTGTGCCTGTCTCCCACTCTGTGCCTGTCTCCCACTCTGTGCTTGTCCAGCCAACATTGTGGCAATTATTCCGACAACAATCGTGGTTTTCTCCCTCACGCTCTCCTCTTCTCTTCTCTCTCCCCCTCCCCTCTCTGCCCGTCCAGCCAACATAGTTCTGGAGGCAATTCTCCTGACAGCAATCGTGGTCGTCTCACTCACACTCTTCACCTTCTGGGCGGCGCGGAACGGGGAAGACTTCTCCTGGCTGGGCCCCATTCTCTTCACTGCCCTTTCCATCTTCTTCTTCTCGATGATCATTCAGGTAAATGAGCGTCACTGCAGTGTTATGATTTATGACCTGTGTTGGTTTGCTCCTTCCTGTAGCCCATGCCTTATCCTGGCTGGGCCCCATTCTCTTCACTGCCCTTTCCATCTTCTTCTCCATGATCATTCAGGTAAGTGAGTGTAATTGAGGTGTTACAGGTTATGTCCATCGCTGGTTTGCTCCTTCCTGTAGCCTATGCTTCTCCTGGCTGGACCCATTCCCTTCACCGCTGTTTCCATCCTCATCTTCTCGTTGATCATTTAGGAAAGTGAGCATCACTGTATTGTTATGATCCGTGCTGTAGCACATGCCTTCTCCTGCCTGTGTTATGCAGCCATCGGAGCCATCATATTCAGCCTCTACATATTTTACGATCCCGCATCCCTTTTTCTCTCTCCCAGATATTCTTCCCCTTTGGCCCGCTCCTCAACACCATCTATGCTGCTATCGGAGCCATCATATTCAGCCTCTACATCATCTACGACACCGCATCCCTTCTCCACCGCTACTCATACGACGAATACATCTGGGCGTCAGTGGCCCTTTATCTCGACATTCTCAACCTGTTTACCTTCCTGCTAGAGCTACTCAACGCCAGCAACGATTAGATCAATGGACAGAAGGACCTGTTCGGGTGGGCTTATGGTACTAGTAACATCATCTACGACACTGCATCCCTGCTCCACCGATACTCCACCTGTTTACCTTCCTGCTGCAGCTCTTGAACGCAGGCAGGGATTAGTTCAAGAACTACCAGTTAGGGTGTGAATGTCTTCTGCCACCGCTACTCGTACGAGTACATGTGGGCGTCAGTGGCTCTCCATCTCGACATCCTCATCCTCTTCACTTTCCTGCTGGAGCTGTTAAATGCAGGCTGGGATTAGGTTAAAGGACAGCCAGGCCAGAAGCATGATCTTCAAACACTGCATCCCTGCTCCACTGCTACTCATACAACAAGTACATCGGGCCTCAGTGGCCCTTTATCTTCACATCCTCAACCTGTTTACCTTCCTGCTAGAGCTACTCAACGCCAGCAACGAGTAGATCAAGGGACCGAAGGAAGTGTCCGGGTGGGCCATCATCTACGACACAGCATCCCTGCTCCACCGCTACTCATACAACAAGTACATCGGGTCTCAGCTCAGTGGCCCTTTATCTTCACATCCTCAACCTGTTCACTTTCCTGCTGGAGCTCTTGATCGCAGCCAGGGATTAGGTGTAGGGATAGCTAGACCTGTTTGGGAGTGTGTTAATTGTAGCAGTAACATGCTTCAAATACTCCAGCAGTTTCCTCCATAATTTCCAGCTATAGCTCTTGAATGCTGGGTTTAGGGTAAGCATTAGCTATTAACCAGACCTGCTAGGGTGTCCATGTGTACATGCGCTGCTTTCAGACCTAGCAGTGCCTTTCCTGTACGGATATTTCTCAATATCCTCAACATCCTCAACAGGGCTAATTTTAGGTTTTGAGCAACCCTTGTGATCAGTCAGTGTTGCACTTGTTCAAAAACCTGATTATCAGTGTGACACCTTGTTCAAACCCTGATCCATAAGTGTTTTTCTTGTTTTTGAAAATACAACCATGTGGCATCAGTGTACCAGTTTTTCAAACCCCCTAGTGTTTCTGGCCAATGGTGGCCCACTTCGTGCCAGCACATGTATTGTCAAGGCTGAAATTCCGATTTCGACAGTTGGCAATCGGGAATCCCGGGTTACGGGAAAGGGGGGGTGGGAGGGTATGGTACTCACTTCAGGGTGAATTTCGTTATGAATATCGGTAACCCTGAGGCATCAGTGTGCCTTAAAACCCGGGTACAGTGAACTTGAAATCGCAAAAAACAGGGTTACCCTACTTCACTGAAGAAACTCTCGCGACCCCAAGCAATCGTCCTGCGACAACGGAACCAGAGTGCTCAAAAACAGAACTGACGCGATGATCGCCAACCATATGCACTGTTCACCACTCACATAACTTGCTTACAAAGTCCTACTCATAAACTAGGAGGCTCCAAGGAAAAAACTAGCGCTAGTTGGCAAAAACTATCGTATATAGGATTTTTTTTATGTGCGGAAAAAAATATAGGTATCCACCTCAACCATCTTAGTCAGTGCACACTCCGATCTCCCTCTCGCGTCGCCGGTCTCGTGCTACAACCTGTTCACCCGCAGCACTTACCTTAGTGAACGATCGCCGCGTTACTCGCACATTGCATTCAAGCTCGCGTCGCACACGCCTGCTTGCTGCGGTTCAGCCTTGCGTCACGATCGTACCGTTTTAGGCACGGTTCGCTCACGCGAATGCAGGCCACCGAAGCACCGCATCCAGCAGATCTTTGACTGGATGTGCCCTGAGGCGAGCTGGCGGAGCTGTGAGGCAGCCTCCTCTCGAGACTGCCTTCAGCCTCCCCTGCTGCCCCATACCCTCTGCTGACCTGCGCCCTATGAGGCCCTGCCCTCTCTGTTCCCCGCCCCTGCATGTACGGAGGGATTGGGAGCCGCTCTGCATGGGAGCCGCTCTGCATGGGAGCCGCTCTGCAATGCAGCCAGCACTGTGCAGGCAAGGAGTTGAAGGTGGATCTGTAAAACTGCATGTTTGTGTTATCTCTAGGCTATAGTGAGTTAGCCTACAAAGGGTACAACACTTTAGGGTTAGGTACTTGTACTCATGCATGCTACCTAGTCCATCATTCCTACCTGCAGATTATAACATGGTATTAGAGCAGAATCGTTTCTAGGGCCCACCGAGCGTTCAGCCCTGCCCTAACCGTAATTTTTTTCTTCCTACGCTGCCCCTGCAGCCGCGCTGCCCTTGCAGCCCGCGTGCTGCCCCTTCGACCGCGCTGCCCCTGCAGCCGCGCTGCCCTTGCAGCCCGCGTGCTGCCCCTTCAACCGCGCTGCCCCTGCAGCCGTGCTCCCCCCTGCGACTGTGCTGCCCCTGCAGTCGTGCTCGCCCCCCGACCGTGCTCCCCCTGCAGCCGTACTCGCCCCTGCAACCGTGCTGCCCCTACAGCCGTACCTGCCCCTGCGATCGTGCTGCCCCTGCAGCCGTGCCTGCCCCTTTGGCCCGCGTGCTGCCCCTGTAGCCCGCGCGTTCGCCCTTGCAGCCCGTGGGCATTGCCCCTGCAGCCCATACGCCGCCCTGCAGAGCCGCGCGTCACCCCTGCAGCCCGTACGCCGCCCTGCAGAGCCGCGCGTCGCCCCTGCAGCCCGTGGGCACTGCCCCTGCAGCCCGCGCGCCGCCCTGCCGAGCCGCGCGTTGCCCCTGCAGCCCGTGGGCGCTGCCCCTACAGCCCATACGCCGCCTTGCAGAGCCGCGCGTCGCTCCTGCAGCCCGTACACCGCCCTGCAGAGCCGCACGTCGCCCCTGCAGCCCATGGGCGATGCCCCTGCAGCCCGCGCGCCGCCCTCCCGAGCCGAGCGTCGCCCCTGCAGCCTGGGCGCCGCCCTTCCGAGCCGCGAGCCGCCCCTACAGCCCGCTCGCCGCCCTGCCGAGCTGCGCGTCGCCCCTGCAGCCCGTGGGCGCTGCCCCTGCAGCCCGCGCGCCGCCCTACAGAGCCGCGCGTCGCCCCTGCAGCCCGTGGGCCGCGCGCAACCCTAAACCCTCATATATATATATATACATATATATATATGTATACTACTACTACTACTGCTGCTGCTGCTGCTACTCGTGCTACTGCTGCTGCTGGTGGAGGTGCTGCTGCGAGTGCTGGAGGTGCTGCTGGTGCTGGAGGAGCTGGAGGTGCTGGACCTACTCCCGACCGTGGCTGTCTGTCATGGCCACTATCGCGGCAGTTGCTGCGGCCAGGGGTGGACAGCAGCGGGCACTGCCTCTCCCGGATGACCCCACCCCTCAGCAGCTTCGTGAGTGGGTTGTTCAGCGAGGCAGGCCTGGTGGTGGAGGTTTTGATTTTTAGTGGCCTAAGCGACGTCGCGACTGTGCTTCAAAGCGATGCGTCCCTGGCTGTGTAGAGGTTCCTACTCTCGGTTCTAGTGAGTCTGCTGCCGCCCCAGGTGCTAGTGAGTCTGCTGCCGCTCCAGGTGCTAGTGAGTCTGCTACAGCTCTAGGTGCCCGTGAGTCTGCCGACGTTCTAGGTGCTAGTGCGTCTCCTGCCACAGGTCCTGTCTCAGCTGAGGTCTTGCACACTTTCACGCTTGACTCAGGCGCGTCACGTTTCTTCTTTCGTGATTGCACCACAGTCACACCACTCACAGCACCTGTCCCAGTCTCACTGGCTGACCCCTCTGGGGGCCCAGTAGTTGCGAGAGCCTTCACGGTCCTCCCTTGTCCAGCAGTCCCCTCCGGTTCTCTGTCAGGTCTCCACCTCCCCATGTTCTCGACGAACTTGGTGAGCAACGCTGCCATTCAGGATGTCTGGGTTGATACCTTTATTCCTCGAGGGCAGCTTGTGGCGATCTGTACGTGCTCCCGGACTGGCCGTCACCTGGCTACGTTCACTCAACAGCCTGGGTCTAGTCTGTACACTTTGACCACTGCGTCTGCACAGGTGGCTGAGTCAGGTCAGGTGGCTGCGTCGAGACGGGCGTCTGCGTCGGGGCAGCTAGCTGCGTCTTGCTCGTGCAGAGTACTCACGCACGAGACTCAGCGCTGGCACCACCGTCTTGGTCACCCCTCCCTGCCGCGTCTACGCAGTATGCACTCCCGTCTCCTTGTCTCTGGCCTCCCCAGGACCCTGCCCCCCCTGCCGCGCTCGCTTGCCCCGCCGTGCCTTCCTTGCGTCGAGGGGCGGCAGCGCGCCGCTCCTCACTCCTCCGAGTTTCCTCCGACCATTGCTCCTCTGCAGACTCTCCACCTGGACGTGTGGGGCCCGGCCCCAGTCGGTGGAACGGACCAGGAGCGCTACTTCCTGCTGGTTGTTTACGACTGCACACGCTACACCACCGTCTTCCCCTTGCGGAGCAAGGCGGATGTCAGTGGTGTCCTCATCCCCTGCATCTGTGCTACTCGTCACCAGATGCGCGAGCGGTTTCGGCGGGACTTTCCAGCTCTGCGTCTGCACTCTGACAGAGGTGGTGAGTTCTCCTCTGGCGTCCTTGAGACGTTCTGTCGGGACGAGGGCATCGCCCAGTCGTTCACGCTTCCGGCCTCTCCGCAGCAAAATGGGATCGCTGAGCGTCGCATTGGCCTGATCATGGAGGTTGCTCGTACCTCCATAATCCATGCGGCTGCTCCCCATTTTTTGTGGCCGTTTGCGGTCCGATACGCCGCGCATCAGCTCAACCTCTGGCCCCGTGTCTGCTCCAGAGACCTCGCCCACACTCCGTTGGACGGGACAGCCTGGTGATGCATCGTCGTTTCTGGTCTGGGGCGTGCTCTCCCTTGTTCGCGATACCAAAGCGAGCAAGCTCTCTCCTCGCACTCTCCGCTGTGTCTTCTTGGGCTTCCCCACCGACGCCCCGCCATGGCAGTTTTATCAACCTGCAAAGCGTTGTGTTCTGTCCTCTCTGGACGTCACCTTCGTTGAGTCGGACTGTTACTACCGACTTCACCCACACGCGTCCCACCCGGTCCCCCTCGCGCCTCTCTTCCTGGTACCAGTCCCCCCCCGGTAGACCCCCTTCCCCCACAGGGTCCTGCTCCCTCAGG